CAAAACGCACTTTGTCATATTCTTCATAACTTTCGTATTTCATAAGCTACATTCAAAAGGTGGGTGTCACATGAGAGCTGTAACTGTCTTCTTTCCAGTCAAATAGATGGGTAATGTAATTTTAAACCCTTATAATAGAAGAAGCTGATTTTTTTTTGTCTACTGAATGTTTTCCACAAATCTGGGCTGTAAGCAGATGGTGCCTCTTCAGTGATATACTCTGTAAAAATTGTTTTTATAAGATAATACAAAGAACGTCTAAGATTTTTGGCTTTCAGCAGTAAATTGTAAGCATATAGCAATATGTGTATGATCATAAAACACGTTCTGTCAATTTGAGGGGAAATTTTACAAAAAAATAAAAATAAAATAAAAATTACATTTATTTCATGCAGTTACTGAATAATTTGCCTTATGATTTGGTCATGTGAATTCAAATGGAAAAAACAAAATATACCCTGGTGAATAAGAGGTTAAAGCTCTTCTCTACTAATTTTCATGTTCTTCTTCTATAGTTTTGTGGTGATTTTACAATGAACTGGCAGAGAAAGAATGCTGTTGGTATTTTCTGTTGTGAGATTTTTGAAAGTCCTTTTTTTTTCTGTATGATTTGAGTTGGGTGGGACTAAATGAGGTGTAGGTGACATCAGTTCTGCCAAAATACCGATCAGAATATCGGTCCACCTTAAATGTAGGAATAAAAAGCTAATACGTTAGATACTCCCCTAGCATCAAGACCCATAGTGTTTCCCTGCAATTGTACTTTACAGGCATGAGGCATTTTCATTTCACTGTCTGTAGAGGTTGATGCCTTTTAATACATGCTGCTTATTATTTCAACTCTCAATCAAGTCATCTGTTTTTAAAGTCTAAAGCAAAAAAAAGACTTAATTAAACAGTAAAAAACTCTGCACTGCCTTTCAGGAACTCTAAATACTTTACCAGATAAACTAGGAAGCCATATATAATCATTTAATCTTCAAATGCATGTAGTTAATGTAAATCTTATTTCTTATGCTGTATAGAGAAAGGTGTGTAAATGTGCACTAGCAGAACATACTGTGATCAGTCTCAGAGCTCAAAATATTTTTTCCTCATGTCATATGTTTGGCTTTAGTTTTGTGTGTACAGATTAATTCCAGTAATATGGCCAGGTTAACTCTAATATGGCCAGGTTAACTCAGGTCTACTCTAACTCTAACTAATATTTTCAGGTTGTGACTGCAGATATATGAAAAAGTAACTCAATTACTCAAGTAGTTTTTCAATAAACAACTTATTTACTCTTACTTATTAATACTTTTACTTGTACTCAAGTAAAGTATCACTACAGAAACAGTACTTTTACTTATGAAGGGATTTTCAGAACTTTTTCCACCCCATTTATAAACAACCCAAACCCAAATCACAAACCTAGCTTGGTCATAGCAAATGGCTAGAATCTTTCTTTCTGAATTAGTGTTACTCCTGAGGTCTAACTGAACTGTACATCTAAATGTACTGTGAATCATGCTGTAACTGTTCAGTGTGGTGATGGTGTGTATAAGTAATCTACTATACTTGTTTACAGGCTTGCGTAAAGCTCTCTTAGGCTATACTGGTTCTCATATAAAACATCCATTCTTGTATGTTTAGAATTACAGAAATTCCAAGTAGAATGAATGGAGAAGAAATGCTACAGCTCAAAGCAACCTTTAGTTTCATGTTTTAGGCATATTTAACTCAAACAGACTGTCTAATACAAATCCAATTCCAACTCCAAACTTGGAACACTAGGAAAAATGCAAATAAAAACAGATATCACACACACACACACACACACACCACACACACACACACCACACTTCTAAGCCGCTTATCCTTCTGGGTCGTGGGGGGAGCTGGAGCCTATCCCAGCAGTCATTGGGTAGAAGACAGGATACACCCTGGACAGGTCAAAACAGATATCAGTGATTTATAAATATACTTTGATCTGAACAGAAACAATACAGAGAAAGGATATATATGTCTTATCTTGTGAACTAAGTTGTTTTTTCGTAAACATCCACTCATTCTGAAATTGATGTCTGCAACACATTACAAAAAAGTTGACACAGGGCAATTTAAGACAAAGAACATTGTGAAAGAAAGCATCCTAAATAAATTATGTAATCATGCTTGGGTCCAGAAAAAATGTAACCTTTTAGGAGAAAGGTGAGCTCAAGGCTTGATGCTAAAAATGCATCAGCACGGAAGTTGAAGAACAGTGTTCCTCAGTGAGTGGTTGCAAGGATTTTAGGTATTTCACCCATCTACAGTGCTTAATAACATCTAAAGATTCATGGAATCCAGAGAAATCTCTGTGTGTAAAAGTCAAGGCAGAAAACTTGAATGCCCATGTCCTTCTTCGATCCCTCAGGTGGCACTGCATTAATCCCTTAAATGTCCAGGTCCACCTGCAGGTCCAAAGTTTCACTACGCACTTATATAACTAAAAAAACTCCACCAGTTTGCATTATAATCCATATAGTTGCTGAATAATAAGCCTTTGTATGTTGTAAGACTGGGATTTTAAGGGGCTAAAACCATTATGTGTCTGTAATGGATATCAGTGCAAGGGCTCAGGAATACTTTTACTTTTTTATCGCAAGGTAAGACTGTACAATGCACAGTGAAAGTCATATGTCAACAAAGTCTGGGTGCAAGCTGATCTGAAATGGATTGATGCACAGTGGAACCTTCAGTCCCTTCTAAAGAGACCCTGGCAACTCTGTTAGAATATATGATCCATTAGCAGGATATTTTACATCAAAATCTGCCAGACTCTGCCAGGAGGTTAACACTGGATTATGCATGAATCTTTCCTCGGAACAGTGAGCCAGGGCACACCTCCAAATCCACAGTCAAATGGTTCACTAATGACAAAATTGAGCCTTTGCACAACCAGCCTTCTCAGTCCTCTGAGCTAAACCCCATCAACAACCTCTGAGAAGACCTGAAGAAGCCGATGTATGTGCAAGTAGCCCAACTCTGAGCAACTCTGTGAGATTTTGGAAGGAGGAATGGCCCGAGGTCCCTTGTGTCCTACCTCATCCAGAGCTATAAAAGAAGACTCAGTGCTGGTATCTTGGCAAAGGGGAAGTGCACAAAGGTATAAAGTATAAAAAGGTGTATGATCATGGCGTATGTTTTTTTTCTTATATAAAGATATCTTCAGTGTAAGCAGAAATTGATAACATTTTGCTTTGGTCATCTCTTTTCCTCATCTTTACAAAAGGTGTCAGACTGGAAGTAATTTTACTCAGTACTGTAGCTGACTAGTCTATTACAGTTAAAGCACACATGTTAAACTGGTTTTGCAAATACAAATAGAATGGAATAAAAAAAAACACCACAGTTATACAACAATATGGAGTATATGATATCAAAATCACACAGCAAGATGTTTTCTGTGTCAGTGTGCACTAGCGTGAAAAGTGAAAAAGTTAAAAAGTCTTTGGTCTTTGCTCTGTTGCAGCATTTGTAGAGCTTTCCCACTGCACAATGGCCACACCTCCATCTCCATACCCTCCACTGAGACAGCCTGTAAGATCAAAATCAACACCCAGAAAATGATCTTCTCTTCACGTTGAGTAAATGACAGGGTAGTTGCTTTATACCCTACTGTTGTCCTTCAGAGATCACAGAGAAATATAATGAAGTGAATAAAACCAGTAAAATAAAACCTCTTTAAAAAGAATGATCTGCTGACCTGCAATGTTAGGGTTAATATCCTCCAGCAGCATCGTTACCCACTAGACTTTCTAGATACGACTCATACCAACATCTCAGCAGAGTCAGGTACCATGTTTGTGAATAATACAGGCATGAAATATACAAAAGTCTTTAAAAGTAATAGTTCAAAAGTAATAATGATTGAAAAATGAGGCAACTGTGTCCCCATATTTCAAGAGAAACATATTGTGGCATATGGGTGTGGCATGCAAAATTAAGCCGAGTGTGGTTGTAGGGGTCACTGTGAGTGGGTGTTGTATGGCTAGAGGTGACCTTCCCTGCTGTTTTCCCTGCAGTTCAGAGACATTGTGTGCTTTGCTCAATAAAAGAGCATTTTCCTTGAGCAGAAAAATGGCATCCTCTGGGGCTCATGTGCCAACACTACAATATTATAAATATTTTCAGTAGGAAAGCTTTAATTACAGGACTTGATGGCTTTTACATACTTTACACTGACATCCAGTGCTAATTAAAGTCAAACAAAATAAGTGTTGTGTATTACTCAATTTTACTTATAATTAAACATAAACACAATACAATACAGTAATCTTTTTTGCATGAATCATAAATAATTTTATTGAAAATATTCACAAACAAGTTAAAGCACACTATTTGGCCATCCACTATACATAGATTAAATGAGTTTTAATTATGTTACATTGATTATACGTAGCTGTGCCTGACTAAAGAACCTGTGACTCACAACAACTATTTCTTTGTATTTGGATCTCTTTAGCTCTCAGATTTGATTGATGAACATGATCTTAATTGTGTTACAGTACAAATGTTCTGTTAAGTCTGAGGATAATTCCATTAAAGTCAAACAAAATAAGTACTGTATATTACTCAGTTCAACTTATAATTAAACATTAACACAATACATTTTTTGCAAGAAACATAAATTATTTTATTGAAAATATTCACAAAAAAGTAAAAAGGGACACCATTTTTCAGTTGATTTACAACTGAGGCTATCCATTACACATAGATTGAATAAGTCTTAATTATGCACATAATGAATTCCACAGTGGCATGTTATTCAGTACAAACTTCAACCAATTCTAATTGGTTACATGTAGCTGTGCCTGACTGAAGAAGCTGTGACACACAACAGTTATTTCTTTGTAGTTGGATCTCTTTGGCTCTCAGATTTGAGATGAACATGATCTAAATTGTGTTACAGTACAAATGTTCTGTTAAATCTGAGGATAACTCCATTGTGGTGATGCTGTCTGCATCGTTTCCCATCAGCTATATTCCACTCGTGAATACAGGTCTTGACTTTCCTTCACTCTCTTAGCAAAACTCAGGACAGCGTTGAAGATATCTGTGCGATACTGGCCACATAGAGAGCCGATGTTACAATAAGACTTAAAACAATATCAATTTTGTAAGTTGCAGATAAAAACCAACAATTATAACAACAGCTGTACAGATTGTAGAACAAATGTGTTGTTATGTGAAGTAATATGATCAGAGAAAGTAGATATGAATACCTGATCAGTGTGGCTTGAGCGGCTGTTGGAAGCACCTTTAAAGAGAAATAATGTGATTTAATTTTTGGTGAAATGAATGTAAATCATCTCTAAAAAGAAAAATACTAACCTCTTTGTTGACTCTTAAGTAGAACTCCAATCAGAGCCACGATCACAATAAGAAATATTACATTCACTGTTATCGAGATGATGAAACTCCAACTGTTATTTTCTGAAATGACAGAAAATGTATACCTTGGATTAGAATTGCTTCTGGTAAAATGATGTGATAATTCACCATGCAGAAAATTTCCGTTACAGAACAGAAGCTCTATTCCATCAAAAGTCTCACCTTGTACATTAACTTTAGTTTGATTTCCAAACAGTATCTGTCCACATGCAGCCACAGCACAGTAGTATGTTCCAGCATCAGAGAGGCTGAGGTTTCTCTTGGGGAGTTTGTAGACACAGCTCTGTGTAGGAGAATCAGTCTCAGAGCTTTTCTTACACTCATCACTCCTGTTTCCATGAGTGTAGATGATTCCTGGATGAGATTCTCCTGATCCATGTCTGAACCAGTACACACTGTGTTCTCCTGAACAGTCTGGAGTAAGAGATTGTACTGAACACTGGAGAGTAACAGACTCTCCAGTCTCGATCACCATTTCAGTCGGAGATCGATGGTCCATCGTCTCAGCTTTAAAATCAATTAGTAGAAACAGCAAACAGTCAGAAATAACACTAACAATGATCACTGTAAAACACAAATAAACATATATAATTTTGAACTGCAATAAAATAAATAGAATTAACAGTTACAGATATTAAAGTTAGAGAGAGCTGTTTACCTTGAAAGAACAAGCGAGTCCCAGATCCAAACTCTACAACATTCGTCTTTACTCTTCCACAGAAATATGTTGCTGCATCCTCTTCTTTTATTCCTTTTATACTGAGATCAAATGCTTCTTCATCCACAGTGAAGCGGCCGTCCTTAAAACCTGATGTATGTCTGAGCTTCTCTCCATCTCCAAACTGTCTCAATACATTCTCTGGCACATTTCCTAAACTCTGTTTATACCAAGCTAATAAATGAGTTTTCTTGTCTTTGACAATGTGTTCATCACATTTTATGACAACATTATTTCCACTCCTCACAGTTTGTACTTGAAGCCCAGAGATTCCAGTTTTCACTGAAAAAGTGTGTATAGAGGTTTTATAGCATTGGTTGTAGTATTAATATGGTATATGCTATATAATATTTTATAAAAACAAATTCAAAATGTCACTCACCTGTAGTAAATAGGCAAAGAGCGGTGATGAGTGTGATCATTGTTGCTGCTCAGACAATGAGACAGTGAGGTAATGAGGTCTGTTGCACTTGTTCGTTCAGTGGAAACACCAGCCCTGTGTCGTACCTGATTGGACATTTTGAAGGTGTGCACTGCTGCTATTGGTCCAGTAGTTGCAAGGAAACACAAAAACATCATCCAGCTCTTTTTGCACAAAAGCACATATTTTCACTGTACAGTGATGTACGCTAGAAATAGACGTTGTATAATGTTGTGGTACGTTAGCAAAATGACAGTAGTTGAAATGTTTCCTGCAGCGAAGAAGTGAGTTCTAGTTCTGTTTCTTCTGATTGTGAGACAGTCAGCCTTTAAACTGTCTGTATGCAGTACACGTCTGTCATCTGTATGCATGAACATTTTTATATAAAAGGCTTGCTGGAGTGTATTTCACTGGTGTTGTCATGCGCTGTCATGTGGTCAGTACTGTTTTAAACCAGACTAAGAGTGTTAAGATTGATCTTAAGGCTGGTTCAACTTACTTTAAAGGGGGCATATTTGAAAATATATATATATATATATTTCTATATTTTAATACGACTGTGAATAGCATAAAAGCCATACCTTAATTCAGTCTTCTTTATAATGTGTTTTACACTCTCAGTAACTCCTTTGTGAAGAAAAGCTTCCTTTTTGGTGAGTTTGTATGCTATTGACCACTGCTGTCACTGACTGTCTCTCAGTAGAATGGAGTAGGGTAACGGTTGTGGTCACTGTGCAGTGCAGCAGAACACAGTATGTAGAGACCACATGCAAGACTTTTTAAGCGTGGTCACAGTCAGAGTCAGATACAGTCACAAAATCAGGAGCATGTGGTGAACAAACTTGTCTTTACACAACAGCATATGCAAAAATGTTGTAATTCACTTTGTAAGAAGCATTTTTATGTGTTCGGCTTTCAGTAATGTAGTGTTAATTTCTGTGAAACTGGTCATTTCAACTTTACATTAGCATCAACATCTTTTACATTTCATAGCTCTCAAGATTGAATAAATACATTCAAGTAAAATATTCTTTATGCTTATTTTTTATTGAGATGGTAGAAAGTGATCAAGATGATTAAGCCAGTTTGAAGGTATGCAATTGCTGATAGTTTTGCAGACCAGATGCATGTAATGAGCTGAAACTTGTGAGTGTAAGAGAGGGGGTTGTGGGTAATGGGTGTAAGAGAATGGGTAGTGGGTGTAGCAGCAGTAATGAGAAAGTTTCTTGCCTACCTCTATTTGGCTGTTTGAACAGCAGGCCTCACTAACAGGAAATACTTATACACCATGTGAAGTTTAGTGGAGAAAGAAAGAAGAGAATGTTACCAGCACATAGGAGGAGCACACTTTATTCAGACTGTCAATGGTATTATTATCAGCTGCCAAACTTCTGTTATTATCAGCTGCCTCTTGAAACCTGCCAAATTCTATATGGCTTACCTATACTAGATTAATAGCTACTGAGTACTATTTTCTTAAAATTTCGGCTATTTATAAATTATGAATCTGTTGCTTATGTTTTATTGAATAAAGCTGTCTGCTTTAGCTAACTTTAGCTACTTTAGTTAACAGTGGTGTCAGTTCACACAGTTTACCCTGATGAAATGTTTTTGTTGCAGTTTTGCTGGTATACGGCCATGTGATACAGGAAATCTAGTCTAATACAGTTTTCCCCAGATTTGTTCTTCACTTTCTGTTTTTTAAAGCTCTTGTCTACTAATTTTCATGTTCTTCTTCTATTATCTACAGTTTTGTGGTGAGTTTACAATGAACTGGAAGAGAAAGAATGGTGTTGGTCTTTTCTGCTGTGAGATTTTTGAAAGTAATTTTCCTTCTGTATGATTTGAGTTGGGTATCTTACTATAAGAGATTAACTTTATTTATGAATTTGTGATAGATAGCGGTCCTCCTGAAATGTAGGAATAAAAAGCTAATACGTTGGATACTCACCTAGCATCAAGACTCACAGAGTTTCCATGCAATTGTACTTTAAAGGTAAGAGCCACACAAGAAATGTCTCAATATGACCAAAATCAAATCAAATTAAATAACATTTAGTGTCACATCACATTTACACAGGTGTGAAGGCGAGTGAAAATCTTTGGTGCGTAGCTCCCTTGTAGTACTTAAATATACAAAGTTTAAGAAAATAAACAAATATATATATATATATATATATATATATATATATATATATATATATATATACACACACATTAGACTCTAAATATATACACATATACACAACAGAAGAAACTGCCCTGTAACCAGCTGGTTCTGGACATTATGCTTCTGTACCTTCTCCCGCTTGGCAGCTGTGAGAACAAACAGTGGCTTGGGTGGGTGGAGTACTTTAGAATCCTCCTGGTCTTCCACAGGCAGCTGGACCCCAGTGACGTGATGGGCTGTCCGCGCCACCCTCTGCAGAGCTTTTCATGAGCTGACCATGCTGACTCATTGCTGTTGTTGCTAATGATCTTAATGGTAGAAATGTTTTATAGAGGTGTCGGTAATTGTACAGAGTTTGAAGGCGGTGAGTGTGTTGTTTACTGTCTGTAGAGGATGATGCTTTTTAATACGTGCTGCCTATTATTTCAACTCTTACTCAAGTAATTTGTTTTTTTAAAGGCTGAACCAAAAAAATTTGACTTAATTAAACAGTAACAAACTGCGCAGCCTTTTAAGGTTTCTAAATTATTTTATTGGAAACAGATAAACTAGGAAGCCTCATAAAGTAATTTATTCTTGAAAGGCATGTAGTTAATGTGAATCTTATCCCTTACTTTATATACAGAAAGATGTGTAAAAGTGCACTTTAGTTTTGTTGTACAGATTATTTCCAATAATGTAGCCAAGTTACATCAGAAATATTTTCAGGTTGTGACTGCAGATATATAAAAAAGTAACTTGATTACTCAAGTAGTTTTTCGATTAACAACTTATTTATTGTTACCTTACTCATTTCCTTTATTGCTAATCTTACTTGTACTCAAATAAAGTATCACTACAGAAACAGTATTTTTACTGATGTAGGGATTTTCAGTACTATTTACACCCCTGTTTATAACCAACGCAAACCCAAATCACAAACCTAGCTTAGTCATAGCACATGGCTAGTATCTTTCTTTCTGAATTAGTGTTTCTCCTGAGGTCTAACTGAACTGTACATCTAACTGTACTGTGAATCCTGTTGTAACTGTTCAGTGTGGTGACAGTGTGTATAAGTAATCTACTGTACTTGTTTACAGCTTTGTGTACTGGTTCTCGTAGGTTTGAAATTACAGAAATTCCGAGTGGAAAAGAAATGCTACAGCTCAAAGCAACCTTTAGTTTCATGTTTGGGCATATTTATCTCAATCACACTGTCTAATACAAACCCAATCCCAAAAAACTTGGAACAGGTAAAATGAAAAAAAAACAACAAAAAAACAAAAAAAACAAAAAACAGATCGCAGTGATTTATAAATATACTTTGATCTGTACAGAAACAATTCTGAGAAAGGATATATGTTTTATTTTATCAACTAAGTAGTTTTTTCTTTGTAAACATCCACTCATTCTGAAATTGATTCCTGCATTGTGGAATGTCCAAAAAGCATCTAAGCACCTAAACAAATAATGGAATCATGCTTAGGTCCAGAAAAATCTAAAATTTTAGGAGAAAGGATAGCTCAAGGCTTGATGCCAAAAATGCATCAGCAAAAAAACACAGCAGTTAAAGAATAATAAAACAAGCTCTGCTCCAACGGCTTTGTTTTCCGCTATTTTCGCTGTGCTGTTTTTTTCTTCTTCTTCGTGTCGATCGTGCGCAGTGAACTGTGGGTAAGTCAGTCTCAGAGCTTTTCTTACACTCATCACTCCTGTTTCCATGAGTGTAAATGATTCCTGGATGAGATTCTCCTGATCCATGTCTGAACCAGTACACACTGTGTTCTCCTGAACAGTCTGAAGTAAGAGATTGTACTGAACACTGGAGAGTAACAGACTCTCCAGTCTCGATCACCATTTCAGTCAGAGAACGATGGTCGATCGTCTCAGCTTTAAAATCAATTAGTAGAAACAGCAAACAGTCAGAAATAACACTAACAATACTCAGTGGTGTGAAACATTAAAAAATAAACATGGGTGAATATAAAATATTGAACTGGAATCAAATAAATACAATTCAAACTTGCAGAGAATACAGTAAAGTTAGAAAGTGCTGTTTACCTTGAAAAAACAAGCGAGTCCCAGATCCAAACTCTACAACATTCTTCTTTACTTTTTCACTTTTCCACAGAAATATGTTGCTGCATCCTCTTCTTTTATTCCTTTTATACTGAGATCAAAGGCTTCTTCATCCACAGTGAAGCAGCCATCATTAAAACCTCATGTATATCTGAGCTTCTCTCCATCTCCAAACTGTCTCAATACAGGCTCTGGTACATTTCCTAAACTCTGTTTATACCAAGCTAATAAATGAGTTTTCTTGTCTTTGACAATGTTTTCATCACATTTTATGACAACATTATTTCCACTCCTCACAGTTTGTACTTGAAGCCCAGAGACGGCAGTTTTCACTAAAAAAGTGTGTAAAGAGATTTTGTAGCATTGGTTGTAGTATTAATATGGTATATGCTATATGGCATATATTATACACAAGTTCAAAATGTCACTCACCTGTAGTAAATAGGCAAAGAGTGGTGATGAGTGTGATTATTGTTGCTGCTCAGGCAATGTGAGGTATTGAGGTCTGTTGAACTTGTTTGTTCAGTGGAAACACCAGCCCTGTGTCATAGGTGTGCACTGCTGTTATTGGTCCAGTAGTTGAGAGGAAATAAAAATCATCATCCAGCTCTTTTTGCACAAACCCACATATATCTTCCTACATTCTCACTATGTAGTGATGTATAGTTGGTGGCAGTTGAAGTCATACAAAAGTTGATTTGAAATATAAATCTTTTAATGAAATCAGCTAGTAATGCAAGTCAATGAACTACTTGCAGCACTGAGAATATATT